AGGATCCTTCCAGAAAATGCCCCTCGAGTAGAGTTTCACTTGGGCCTGAATCATTAATTCTAGGTTCCAACTTCCAAAGCTGCTGGATGAGGTTTCTGCTAACAATTTCATCTTCAAACAGAGAAACAAAAGCAGAAGTGGACCCTGGGGGCCTTGGTTTCGTAACTCAAGAATTTCCCCTCCCCCTGCTCCTCCTGAGTGGCGGTCACCTGAGCTGACCACAGAATGGCCTCCCTGGTCCTGGGAGACGAGGGTCCAGGCTTTTTGCTCTAGGGCCCACAGCCTTGACTATAGGGTCCTCAGACGCGGGGACCCTGCCCTTCCCTGGACTACATGGGCATCCCCACGCGCAGGCCCAGCGGCCACGGCTCATGGGCCCAGCCGCTCCGCGGCATGTGGGATCCTCCCGGACCGGGGCACGAACCCGCGCCCCCCCGCATCGTTAGGCGGACTCTCAACCACGGCGCCACCAGGGAAGCCCGAGGTGTCTTTTATCTTCCTGGAAAGTGGGCTCCTCTGAACCCTTAGTGCGAGTCAGTTCCTGGTTAGGAGGTGGGATGGGGCTGCCCACCCTCCACCCCGATCCCGTGAGGAAACGTCCAGGTTTGAGCACTGGGGATGGGGGCACAGAAACCACGTCTGCAGAGGCTGATTTGCCCGAACAGGTGTCCTGGCCCTGGCGCCAAAGCCTTTCCCTTCCCTCGGGTGTAGCAGGTGTGGGAAGGGAGTTGCCAGCCAGGACTTCCCCTTCCTACCCCTCTTTCCTCCACGGCCAAGGTGAGTCAGCCAACCTGTCCTCCATCCACGTGAGGAAACAAGCCGGCATGGTTGTCCCCGTGACCCCCGTGACATCCGTCATCCAGGTGGGGTCTTCCTAAGAGGTGGGTGTTTGGTCTCCTCCAAAGAACAAGCTAAAACCTCCTAGTTGCTGAAGAATGACCAGAATGGTCCCAATATTGCAGGGTCACAAATATTTTGGGGACCCCCAAGTCCCCATAAGTGGTCAGGGCCCAAGAGGTGCAAAGTCCAACCACAAGTTTTATAACATGGGACACAGATGGTCCCTAGGCCCAGCCTCTGATGACTGCTGTGAGGTCTGGGGCTGCATCCCTGATGTTGGGTGAAAATGATGTGCCGGGTTACAAGCTCCTCGGTACCTGCCGTGTTGGGAGACCTGCATGTTCTGAAGGCGCCCTGGGATTCTCCAAGGAGGACCACGCGCATCAGTGTTATGACAGGCAGGGCCGGCGTCGTGGGCTTGTGACCCCTGCCGTCAACAGGGCCCGGAGCACTTGGTGTGATGCCGGGTTGCCCAAGGCGCCCTGTTTTCGTTTTGAGCCTCAGATTGCAGAGCTGGGCCTGCCAGATGACTCAGCCTCCGTAGGCCAGGGCCTGCAGCAAGGGTCAGAGTGGGGCTTGGGGGTCAGGGAGCATTCAGCCCTGGAGAATGCAGGTTAAAGGGAGGGACGGTGACATTTTCAGGCTGGAAACGAATAGGACATCCAGCGTTGACAGGTGGTGATACAGCAGGGTTTTCCTGCCCTAGAAGCAACTCAAACTCAGAGAGTGACAGGAAGATCGGGCAGGAGGAGGGGGAGGCAGGCCAGACATTTGAAACCACAACTTGCAAGGCAAGAAGTAAGTGAGTTCTCCTGTGACCCACTGTGCTTCAGCACCTGGGACGGGTCCAGCGTGGAGCCGAGCCCCTGGACCCTTTCTCCTCTGAACCTGGCTGTGGTCCGCCAACGCACGTCCACCTGGCCCACGGCTCTGAGGGGTGAGCTAGCCGCGTCACTTTAGGGGTCACTGAAACCGCACTGGGTCCCTTAGAGCTGTGTTCTGTTGAGGGAGGGGGCCACAGCCCTGACCGCCTCTGTTAGCCGAAGGCATTTGGCCCTAGGAGGTCTCCGAAGGCGCACAGGTGAAATTCAAAGGCCGCTGGGACGGAGGGAGAGGAGGACCTGCTGGACTGGCCGCCCGGCTCTCCCCGAAGCAGGTGCACCTGAGCGGCAGGTTGTGCGGTCCCTTCCTGGCACCGCTCTGCATGCCTGTGAGGGCAATTTGCAGATCATGACTGTCTCATCTGCCTGGAACAGAGCAGGCTCGGGCAGGGCCCCAAGGTCGGCTCCCCTCAGGCCATCCTCACCTGTGTGTCCCCATGCGGAGCACATCTAACGCATACTTGAGACTCAGACCCTTCCCTGAAACCAGGACAAAGGCCTCTCCCCGGGAACCCGGCGGGCCGGCATCCCTGCACTCCCGCCCCCTGGGCTGTGTCTACAGGCAGAAACAAATGACAGTCTAGAAGGCTCTCCCGTCCGGGAAACTCTTTTCTCATTTGATCCTCGGCACAACCCTGTGAGGTGGGAATCAGATGCTGTCACCTATTTTATAGGTGGGAAGACTGAGGCTCCAGAGAGGTTGGGAGACCGCTACTCAGCCCAAGGCTCACGGGTGGCGGGTTTGAGTCTAGTCCCTTTTTTCTTTTTTAACGCCCCGTAAAGCCTCCTGGCGAACATGTGATCCAAGGCCATGACGCAAAAGCCTATTTGCTTCTAAAAATAAGGTTGACTTGTCCCCTCGTCCCAGTAAAGAAATACACACTTTACCGGCAGGCCAGGGCCGGCCCAGTCTCCCAACCCGCAGCAGAAGGACAAAGGTGAGTTTCTGTTTACCGTGGAGTTGCCTCGAAGTCCTCTCCTCTCCCTGCTTTGGGCCGTGTCGCTTTTGCCCGCACCTGGCAGGCTGCAGACATTTCCTATGGTTCCACATTCCTGAGTTGAGCCACATCCTGGATACCGCATCTGTCACGAAAGACGCTGGTGGTGACAGAAGGCAAGTCTGGCTCGTGGGGCACTGTGGTCCCCTCGCCAGCTGCAGGCTCGTCTCCATCCACGCGGCCACTGGGTCAGACGTTCACGCGGACCCTCTGCAGCGAATGTGGGTCAAGTTCGTGGTCCCCAAACGCCATCGTCACCACACCCTCTGCTGGCTGCACAGGCTCACTTGGCAGGGGGGAAGCTCGGCTCTTGGGGGTCCCATTCCTGAGTATGTCACACCTGTCAGTATCACCTCAGAACACGCAGGTCACTGCCCACCGGCCAGGTCACATCCAGCCCACCCAGGTGCTGGCCCAGGAGCCCTTGCAGAGCAGCCTGGGCCTTTCACCCGGTCCAGTCTGCTGGCGCTCTAAAGGACAGTCGGCAAACGTTGTTAACCACCTAGGATGCGCCACGCCACTGACCCAGCCCTGGGGGCACAGGAGTGTCAGTCCCCACCTGCCCAGGGCGAACATTCTGGCAAGGGGCCATGTGGAAACAGAAAGAGGCTCAAAGAAGAACGTGCTGGATACAGAGCAAACGGGGCCTGGTAGAGACAGCGCCTCGCGAGTCTGCTCTGGGACGTTCCCTTAGCCATCCAGTGAGCTGGGATTGACCGATGAGGACGTAGCCATGGAAAGTGCTGGACCTTTCAAGCAGAAGGGAGAGTGTGTGCAAAGGCCTTGGAAGGCCAGCACCCTTGGTAGGTGCGACCAAGTGGCAGCAGAGGTGGTTGGAGAGGGCGGCAGGGCGAGGTCCCCGGGCTGTAAACGCGCCTCTCAGCTGCTGGCGCGCTCTGGAATCTAAGACCATGCTGCCTGCTGCCCGACGGCCGCTGTCCTCGAGGCGCAGGGCTCCTCGTCATGCACTGGTTCCCACCCAGCCCGCCCTGTCCCTCCCTCCCTCTCGGCCTCCTTTGGCTCCCTCCCTGCTTCCGACCGTGGGCTTTTCCCATCAATCTGAACAACATATCAGCTGCGGTAAGAGCGGCGGTTTTACCCTGGTGGCTGCTAGTTTCCCTGGAGAGCAGTGGGCGCCACCTTTTGTGTTCTATGAGCTCGCTCTGGGAGGATGGATGGAAGGTCGGGTAGAGGCCATTGCGGTCGTGGACAGGAGAGCTGGTGGTGATAGGTTAGGGATTCTTCTGAGAGATGGTGAGCATGGGCACATCTGTCTGGGCGGCAGGGCTGGCAGGACCCACTTATGGACCAGAGGTGAGGAGAAAGGCCCAGCTGGAGGCCTTCTGGCCGGTCCGCCTCTTGACACCTGGAGTCATCCCTAGATGTAGAGGTCCGCAGACCTGCGACCCACCTCTGGTTCTGCCGCATCATCCTGGGACTTTAGCTGTTGGGTCCGTCTCCAAGCCTTAGTCTCTTCTACCAGATGGAGAGGAACCATCCCTTTGCCCAGAGGTGGGCTAAAACAGCTATCAAGAGAGATGGGTGGCAGAGAACTTGGTAATGGCCAGAGAGAGGGAACTCGGCAGGTGCGTCTCTCATTCCTGGAGGGGATTTCCTACTTTGCCGAGGTCCCTTGAGCCCCCCGAATAGTACTCAGCCAATATTGGTTGGATAAACGAGTGGATTTCTGAGACAGACAAAATGGAGATTTCTTGGACAAACACGGAGCTGGAAGATGATCTCACATGTTATGTTTATCTCTCTTTCTGCCACTGAACATTGTGAATCGGGAGCTGCACACCTTGGGAGACAGGAGAGATACAACCGAGAAGGTTAATGTCTCCATACACCCTCAGAATCACATCAACTCACAGGAAGTGTGTGTGTGTGTGTGTGTGTGTGTGTGTTTCTGGGTGTGTGTTTCCTCCTGCAAGTCAGA